ATGTAAGATGAGATACCTGAAATCATCATACGTATCTGCTGTAAGCTGGAAGGATAGGACGGGATCTGGTATTTTGGCTACTAGCGACGAAAGAAGTGTTAAGGAGTATATTAATAACTTATGTCCACACTTTGATTTACTAACTGATATCTTTGGGCAACGAAAAAATGTTACCACACCATTCATTTACGAAAGTGAGGATGATGTTGAATATTTAGTTGAACACCTCGATCCAAATTTAGATGAACAATTTGTGGAAGTGGAGCCGGACTACGTCCTTGTGACTCCAAACACAAGTCCAACCTATACTCCAGAAATTCCGTCGCCATTAAGTAGCTTAAATTCCACACAACCGAAAAGTAAGAGAAGGAAACGCAATTCAAATCCAATGGAAAACTTNGATGAGCAATTTGTGGAAGTGGAGCCGGACTACGTCCTTGTGACTCCAAACACAACTCCAACCTATACTCCAGAAATTTCGACGCCACTAAGTAGCTTAAATTCCACGCAACCGAAAAGTAAGAGAAGGAAACGCAATTCAAATCCAATGGAAAACTTAATAGTTATTCAAGAAAAGAAATTAGAAGTGGAACTCCAAAAGCTTGAACTTGAAAAAGAAAAAGAAAAAAATCAAGTCGAACTAAAAAAACTTGAAATTGAAAACCAATTTGAGCTAAGAAAGCTTGAGCTCGAAATGCAAATTGAAAAGCTAAGGTTAGAAAGTGAAGAAAAAATAAAAAAATACGAACTAGAATGCGCAAAAAATTTACGCTAAGGTGCTTTTTCACATATTTTTTTTAGTTCTGAAGTATAGTTCACTTATATGCAAACATTTTTATTTTCAGTTTTTTAACAATTTTGAATGTTATCTACTAAATAATTTTATTGGCTATGGAATGAATATATTTCCCTACGCGTAGGACTTGTACATACAGTGGTGGAAAAAAAATAGGGACACTACATTTAAACAAATTTTTCCTATTTTTTATGTTTATTTAATACTAGCAGACCCGGCGAACTTCGTCCCGCCCAAAATTTTTATATATTTTATTGAAACTTTTTGGTCCNGCTTGTACATACAGGGCTTGTACATACAGTGGTGGAAAAAAATAGGGACACGACATTTAAACAAATTTTTCAAAATAATTCTAAAAAATCTGATTAAAAAGTTGAAAATTTGGATGCA